TTGGAAAATCAGATGAGTTTCTTTTCAATATATTTCAAACATCTGGGTCTTGTCTGGGGCAATCCTATATGTGCTTCCTGCTACAATGGGGCAGGGGTAATGTAAGATAAAGGAGGGGCATGACTCGCCTGCCCCTTTTGTCACAGAAAACAGGTCATTCCATCCCCTGCGAGGTGCCGCTATCACAGGTAAATCCTGGAGACTAGTTATCCGCAATAACCTTCAGCAAATGTTCACAAAATATTCAGGCTGAGAAAAGTTTGCCTTCCTTCCGGCGGTGATTCACTATTGCATTCTTGGAAAAACTATTAATTGAAGCGATAATTGAAAAGACCTTTGCAGGAGAAAGCTGATGGCGGTGTGACGAGTCAGGCTGCCCCAGGATCACTTACTCATCCAGCTGGCTGGGCAGTTAATATCTCTGAATTATGGAGAACACCTAAGGAAGCTTTTGTAGAAAAACTGAGAGTTAAAGGAAACCTCTTTTCCCCCCATTACTGTCTGTGAAGATTAAATAAATCCAGATGAGTTCCCTACTGCATCCAGGGTATGACTTAAAGGAGAATAGTGAAAGGAACTCTTTTTCATGTTCCAAAACAAATAGTCATCTCTGTAGCCTGGAGACACTGCCATTCATTGCACTTGTGATATTTCTTTTGTCCTCTGTTGAAGCAGAAGCAGATCTGTTAACCGAAAGGATTGCTTCCATTAACTTTGGGCACAGATATGAATTTATTTAATATTTAAAGACTGCTACTCTGCTCGCTCACTTGCTCTCTTTTGCTTTTCGCTTTTTCACTACAGCCTCAAGGTCTCAAGACTAAGAACAATAAAAATAAAAATAAAAAAACAAGAGTATCAAAAACTGGAAAACAACAGATAAAACACAAAGCAAAATGGAGGTATCCACCTAAATGGTTCCGCTAGGGGTCAGCCAACTTTTTCAGCAGGGGGCCAGTCCACTGTCCCTCAGACCTTGTGGGGGGCCGGACTATACTTTTTTTGGGGGGATGAACAAATTTCTATGCCCCACAAATAACCCAGAGATGCATTTTAAATAAAAGCTGTTTTGGAAGGATATGAAAGGAGCAACGCTGGAAAAGTGATAAAGCAAAATGTGGCACATTGCCTTAAGAGAAAAACTTACTCAGATGCTTTGCTTATTAGAATAACAAAAACACTTTGACATCTTTACAGTGGATTGATATGACTTTAGTGCACATATACAGTGGTGCCTCGCAAGACGAAATTAATCCGTTCCGCGAGTCTCTTTGTCTTGCGGTTTTTTCGTCTTGCGAAGCACGGCTATTAGCGGCTTAGCGGCTATTAGCAGCTTAGCGGCTATTAACAGCTTAGCGGCTTTAAGAAAAAGGAAACAAACTCGCAAGAACTTGCAAGACGTTTCGTCTTGCGAAGCAAGCCCATAGGGAAATTCGTCTTGCGGAACGACTCAAAAAATGGAAAACTCTTTCGTCTAGCGAGTTTTTCGTCTTGCGAGGCATTCGTCTTGCGGGGCACCACTGTAAATAAGAAAGAATACAACAGAGGAGCGTCTTCACATTATGCAGAAGAAGTATGGGACCTCTAAGTACCATTCGGGATGCCAGTTCTTGGCTTTGCTGGATAAAACTACTTTTCCAAACCAAAGAGAAAATAGGATAATAGAACTATGACTGTACTTTTCTTCTGGTGTTTATGGGTAATTTTAGTATACATTTACTTTGTATTTTTTAAAAAATAAAAAATATAAATAAATAAAGCATGTACTAACAGTCAAATGGGGGAAAATGCATCTGAAAAATGCTAGAACTTTAGGTAAAGGTAAAGGGACCCCTGACCGTTAGGTCCAGTCGCAGACGACTCTGGGGTTGCGGCGCTCATCTTGCTTTATTGGCCGAGGGAGATGGCATACAGCTTCTGGGTCATGTGGCCAGCATGACTAAGCCGCTTCTGGCAAACCAGAGCAGCGCACGGAAACGCCGTTTACCTTCCCACCAGAGTGGTACCTATTTATCTACTTGCACTTTGATGTGCTTTCGAACTGCTAGGTTGGCAGGAGCAGGGACCAAGCAACGGGAGCTCACCCCGTCGCGGGGATACGAACCGCCGACCTTCCGATCAGCAAGCCCTAGGCTCTGTGGTTTAGACCACAGAGCCACCCACATGTACTAACAGTCAAAGGGGGGGAAAGCATCTGAAAAATGCTAGAACTTTACAGATGTGCTAATGCTTCCAAGTTTGTCAACATGGGAGATTGCCCTCCCTTCAGATGTCAAGGACATTAAGAACTACATAGCTTTTGGGGGCCAATAGGGGGCGCATTGGAAGATGGCTGACAATACCATCTCTCCGACCCACACGGGGTAATTAAGAGGCTGTTATGGGAGTAGGCAGCCTCCCTTGTTGCCCCAAGGAAATGGGGAACACTGCCCTTGCCTGCTGTGCCCATAAATCACCCCCTAATTCGAAAGAAGGGGGTGAGGGCCCTAGGCAGAATGCCCCCGTGTGGACCTCGGCTCTCCTGGACGCTGTCTCTGATCGCGCACTAGCTGCAGCAATTTGGAATAATTAATTACAAAAGAAGCAAATGCACATATTTCAAGTGAAGAAGGGGAGAGATGTCTGCTAATTTAAGTGACCTCTGCGAAAGAAGACGATGGGCTGGAGAAACAGGAATATTTTACGATGAAGATACACCAAAGGCTGGGTATGTTGACAACGGGACTGAATGGGGGGGGGAACCTTTTTTACTTTCCTTCTATGTGATTTACAAGAACCCCTCCTCATTAGAATCGTCGGTTGAACTGACCCAAGCAGGATGATTAAGGTCTGTGTGGAGATAAACTTTAACCAAAAGTATGCTTTATGGAGATCGAGAAGCAATAAGAGCTTTTGGGAATGGCGCAGCAATTAATTCGGAGTCGCCATCTTGCCAAAGGATTTATAGCTGGGAGGAAAAACGGACTTGTTTTCAGACTCCTAGTGAATCTCCTCAGAGGTTTTGAGAAAGGAGGCAGATTGGTGAAGATTAATGACGCTAAGACTGTTTTGATGTATGGAAGTGATGTCATATGGAAAACGTCTGGATATGGCTACTGGATAAAAAAAATAATATCCACGCAGGGTTACAAACTGTTCTAACCAGCTTGCGGAGACTATCAGAGGTCACAAAGAGAAAGGAAAAATATATGAAAATAACAACAAGAGATGTGGAAAAACAGTAAGAAAGGACTGGATAGTACTGTGAACATCATAAGGTTAGATTTGTGGACATTAAAACAGCAGTAAGAAGCAAGAAGTTGATTGGATCCCCTTCGGAACTTGAAATATGGGTACCCCCAACAAAAAATTAAAATTCGGCTGTGTAATTTGGAATTTATGTAATTTGGTTTGATTTGATGTGATTGGTCGGTTAATAAAAAATTATTCTTAAAAAAAAAAAAAGAACTACATAGCTTTTAGAAGACACCTGTAATGGGAAGTTATTAATGTCTGGTGCTTTATTATGTTTTATATATTCTGTAAGCCCCCCAGAGCGGTTGGGGAAACCCAGCCAGATAGGCTGGGTATAAATAATAATAATATGATGATTATGATTATAACGCACCAAGTAGCCTTCCCACTAAGATTGTGTGACCATCTGTAGTGACCTTGAAGTGTTCCTGCCGGTCAGAATCTTCCATGTATTTTGGAAAGTTGTTTTGTTTGTTCACTATGCATTTGGAAACTGCCAAGAAAATTGTTCCCTAGCTTGGGTCTCTGGGTAAGAAGCTGGCCTTTTGGAAAGAAGCTACTTCCCAGTAATTGGGATGATCTCATCGAGTTGAAGCACCTGTGTTCTCTGGGCTTCAAGGCCAGGGAGGAAGCCTACTAATTGGGGACTCATTTCTGTGGAAAAACAGTCTGCCCAAGTGCCAGAAAGTGCTTTTTACCATAAAGCTAGCTTTCGCCTTTGTCTCCTTTGTCTCTTACCTGTTTCTATGCAACCTCTGGGAGATTATATTTTGTGTGTGTCATGGACTGATTCTTATGCCCGTCATTGTCAACTGTATTTTAGATCTGTAGTTTCTGGGCCTTTCCGTCGCCTTACATGCGGCTATCTTTATTCGATTTTACTCCTTTCTTTAAAAATAAATCTATCTCATTTAAAACTGGCTTCCATTTTGAGTCAAGCCTTGGTACTGGGCCCACTTCTTCTAACTTCTTTATGATTTGTTACTGCGTAAGTTATTTACCTGAGTTTCAGGGAGACGCTAGCTCTTTTCTGGAATCTTAGGGGTGTCTGGTAAGGCCTGGGAGTCTCCTGTGTCAGGAGCTCATCCTACACTTGAGTAGGACCCTGGCAGAGACACACACCCGACTGGCATATTCCCTCCCTCCTGGTCGATCATTCGGGAGCTTCATAAGCTTTCTTCAGCCCTACCATCACAGCGACCGATGCCAACAGACACCAGCACACTTAGGGCTCCTCAGAGTTTGCGCATCATGCGCGTGACAGACCTCAGCGACTCAGCATATTGGCTAATCTACTTTATTTACATATAAACACACACGGAGCACTGCAACATGGCTCCCTCTCTCTCTAGCATCAGACAACAAGGAGAAAAAGGACAATAGTCCCACTTCAGGAAACACAGTAACACACAAACATCCTGTCTCCGTCACATCCCACTCCGTGGAGTCAAAACATACACCGTCATGTGATAGACAACAATCCCATGACTGCAATCGTGGAGCAGGAATTCTAACATCCTGGCCTAGGCTACTTGGATTTGAGGAGTAGGGGCAGTGTACTACCTTGCAAGGTTGGTACTAGACCCTGGACATTATATGGCAGCCAAATCACCAAGGTCTGAGTTTTAGGGGTTTGGGGACAGAGGGGCCTTTTGCAGCCCTCCCTGGAGATGTTGGGGGCTGAAACTGGGACCTTCTGTGTGCAAAACCGATGCTTTAACACTGAGCTATGGTGTAAGTGTATCCCCATTCCAATTAATCTTTGATTAACGTCTTTCCCCTGCAATCCCGTACCGCTGTGCTGCGACGCTAAGCTCAGCAATCAAACGTTTTGTTTTTGGAAGCTTCATAATTGTTTCCCTGGTGTTCCATATCTCTCCGTTCCTGTCCACTTTTGCCCCCGACTGCATTGCGGCATCTACCGGAGAATAAACTCTGCTCTGACAGATGTTAAAATCGTTCGTTATTCCTGCTTTTAAAAACAACCTATTGTCTTTGTCGAAAGACAGATCTGCAAGGTAGTGGATGAGTTCATGAATCATAGGCTGACAGTTAAGCAGGTAAGAAACAAAGATAATGGCAAAAAAAGAGTCATGTGTCAGTCAATTCCCCTACAGATCATTTTTCAAACGCTGCTGCTGGCAGGGTTTGAGGGGTAGATGTCAGGATGGCTGCTTCAAACTTTAAAATGCTCCGCCAAGTCCCAATGGAGAAACCTTGCTTCAGTGCCTGCAAGAGCTGCCAAACCAATCCAGTTTGCAGAAAGTTATAATGAAAGCCACAAATCTTCTTGGGAAGATCTGGAACCCAACAGCCGACACTACATGCCTGCAAATCTTCCCGGTAAACAAGCCAACGGTTTTCAGACATGGTCTATGAAGACACTTACAAAAAGACAGCGAAACAGAAATGGAGAGGGAAGTGTTATCTGTACTGCTTTATTTAACATTTATTTAACATTTACAGCTTGCTGACAGCTAGAAGGTTAGGAACAAAGGCAGCCATGTTGGTTTATAAGGAGAAGGAAAATATTGGGCGTTTTTGGTTACGGACCTTCGCCTTTCATTAAATCAGTAATAGTTCTCAAGATCACCTTCAAGGCTTGTTCTTAAATTCCAGCCTACATATCACATTGACTAGATACTTCCTGTTTCTAGATAGATAGCATACATCCCAATTTGTTTGTAGGGAGATTTGTTGTTGTTGTTGTTTAGTTGTTTAGTCGTGTCCGACTCTTCGTGACCCCATGGACCAGAGCACGCCAGGCACTCCTGTCGTCCACTGCCTCCCGCAGTTTGGTCAAACTCATGCTGGTAGCTTTGAGAACACCATCCAACCATCTCGTCTTCTGCTGTCCTCTTCTCCTTGTGCCCTTCATCTTTCCCAACATCAGGGTCTTTCCCAGGGAGTCTTCTCCAAAGTCTTGGAGTCTCAGCTTCAGGAACTGTCCTTCCAGTGAGCACTCAGGGCTGATTTCCTTCAGAATGGATCGGTTTGATCTTCTTGCAGTCCATGGGACTCTCAAGAGTCTCCTCCAGCACCATAATTCAAAAACATCAATTCTTCGGCGATCAGCTTTCTTTATGGTCCAGCTCACTTCCATACATCACTACTGGGAAAACCATAGCTTTAACTATAGGGACCTTTGTCGGCAAGGTGATGTCTCTGCTTTTTAAGATGCTGTCTAGGTTTGCCATGGCCTTTCTCCCAAGGAGCCGGTGTCTTTTATTTTCGTGACTGATGTCACCATCTGCAGTGATCATGGAGCCCAAGAAAGTAAAATCTCCCACTGCCTCCATTTATTCCCCTTCTATTTGCCAGGAAGTAGAGTTGAAAGGGTTCCCCTCCCCAGGATCATCTAGTCCAGCCCTGCAATGCAGCAATATACAGTTGCCCCATGTGGGGATCGAACCTGCAACCTTGGCATTATCAGCACCACACTCTAACCAATGGAGCTATCATTACTTTCCTCCTTGGAAAATGACCAATGAGGCAAGGTCTAAAGGCAGTTCAAAGTTCAAACACAGGCCAGGGATGGGGAACTTGTGGCCCTCCAGATTTTCTGGACTCCAGCTCCCAGCAGTCCTAGCCAGTACAGTGAAGGATCATGGGAGTCGTTGTCCAGCAGCATTTGGAGGCCCACAAGTAGACGGCTTAAGAAATCACAACACTGGTTGAAAAGACATAGTTCCATTGCTCCGACTGGAATGGAAGGCTTGTAAATCTAAGCCTTCATAAACCCACACAGAACACAACTGCAGGCCATCTGTGCTCCTGGAAGTTTTGGTCTGCTAATGTGCAGTAGATTATTTATGAATACAGTGGACACTCGGGTTGCGGACGTGATCCGGGTTGCGAACGTGTCTGTGTACGTGCGGGCTGCGATTCAGCGCTTCTGCGCATGTGTGACTGCCGAAACCCAGAAGTAACCAGGTGCGGTACTTCCAGAATTCAGCGGGTCCGTAACCTGAAAAAACGCAACCTGAAGCGTCTGTAACCCGAGGTATGACTGTATCCCGTTACTCCTCAGGAGTCCTTGTTCCTCAGTGTGGGGCCAGTGTGGTGTAGTGGTTAAGAGCAGTAGACTCGTAATCTGGGGAACCGGGTTCGCTTCCCCGCTCCTCCACATGCAGCTGCTGGGTGACCTTGGGCTAGTCACACTTCTTTGAAGTCTCTCAGCCCCACTCACCTCACAGAGTGTTTATTGTGGGGGAGGAAGGGAAAGGAGATTGTTAGCCACTTTGAGACCCCTTCAGGTAGTGATAAAGCGGGATATCAAATCCAAACTCTTCTTCTTCTTCTTCTTCTCAGGAGGGTAATTGGGCATCTGGTGGCTGACTGAGTCTGTATCTTCAGTCATTTACTCTTCCTAAGGCTTGGTGGCTGCTTGACATCAGCCTTTGATTCCAAGAAGGGGTTATCTATGTCTTGAGGGGGACATATTTATTTGTACTGGATGGAAACTCAACTGCAGGGGTAGCCAATGTGGTGCCTTTCTGATATTGTTGGGTTATGTAAAAAGGTAAGGGACCCCTGGACAGTTAAGTCCAGTCAAAGGCAACAATGGGGTTGCAGCACTCATCTTGCTTTCAGGCCGAGGGAGCCAGCGTTTGTCCACAGACAGCTTTCCAGGTCATGTCGCCAGCATGACTGAACCACTTCTGGTGCAACGGAGCACTATGACAGAAGCCAGAGCGCACGGAAACGCTGTTTACCTTCCCGCTGCAGTGATACCTATTTATCTACTTGCACTGGTGTGCTTTCGACCTGCTAGGTTGGCAGAAGCTGGGACAGGTCAACGGGAGCTCACCCCATCACGGGGATTCGAACCGCCGACCTGATTGCCAAGCCCAAGAGGCTCAGTGGTTTAGACCACAGCGCCACCTGCTTCCCTACTATTGTTGGGTTACATCATCCCTGGCCCTTGGCCATGTTGTCTGGGGTTGATGAGAACTGGAATCCAACCACGTCCAGAGTGGATCACTTTGGCTACTCCTGCCAACCTAGCAGTTCAAATGCATACCAGTGCGAGTAGATAAATAGGTACCACTGCGACAGGAAGGTAAATGACGTTTCCATGTGCTCTGGCACTTGTCACGGTGTTCTGTTGTGCCAGAAGTGGTTTAGTTATGCTGGGCACATGATCCAGGAAGCTGTCTGCAGTCAAACGCCAGCTCCCTCAACCTGAAAGCAGAGATGAGCACTGCACACAAAGGCAAATTCAACTGGACTTAACCGTCCAAGGGTCCCTTAGCTTTATGTTGCATAAATGGAGTGACATCTTTTCACATGTCAAAAAAGAACAATTTGCTTAAGTGGGTAGGTGCTAAATCAACTTTCACTTTATTTGAAGAAGAAAAAGGAAATCAGCTGATTCTCACTGCTCACTATGAGAGTGAACTCTGCCAAACACCCACTCCTTCAATCTGGTACAGAGGCTAAGGATAACTTGCTCTCTTCAGAAATCAGGCTAAATGCCTATAATTCAAAAAGGAGGGGGGGAATGAAATAAAAATAGATGTTTAAAAATGGATATGCAGTAACGAAAAGGGGGGAATAGCCAAGGACCAAATAGGAGGACATCTTAGATGGCATATTAGAGAGAGTGAATGGAAAGTGGGCTTTTAAATCTCAATAAACACTAATTACACATTTGGCAGAAATTTCTTTTTCCCTAACATTTCCTAATAATGGAACTAACATCCTGCTCCAGCCAGACTGCCAGCCCATGGGATGCTAAGTAGGGTTTGGAGGTGACTGGCATTCATTCATTTATTCGATTTATTTGTATGCCGCTTTTCCAGACACACAAATAATAATGCTCCAAGTGGCATGGGTTGACAGTTACTTGTGCTCAAAGAGGCTTACAACAAAGAAACAGGGATCCATTTCAAGCAAACACTACAAATCTGATTTCATAATACAGTGATACCTTACAACCATAATCCGTTCCGGAGGTCCGGTTGTAAACCAAAACAGGTTGTAACCCAAGGCGCGCTTTCGCCAATGAGGCCACCAAAAAAAAAAAATTGGTTGTAATCCAAAAAATATGGGTTGTAATCCAAGAAAAGGGACACGCACTTCAGGGTTTGACATGGTTGTAATCCAAAACGGTTGTGATCCAAAACAGTTGCAAACCAAGGTACCACTGTATAGCACAGAAGGAAAACGATAAAAAGAGGACTAACCAATGGGAACCCAAGGGGCGGAGTTAACTGTGTATAAGGTTTTAAGCACAGAGGTTTTTTGGAGGGAGTTAGAGTTGTTGAGAAGACAGTCTGGAGTTAGGAGAGACAGAGAAGATAAGTCTGTGGGTTAGTCTGGTGTGAGAGAGGGAGAGAATTTGTTAAGAGGAGTCAGTCTTGCTGGGCTGTGTATGTGATAAAGGGGAGCCATACCGGGGTGAAGGCGTCTTCTTCTGTTTGTCCCCGTGTCAGTTTCAGTTTACTGGTTAATTTTTCTAATAGGGCTGTTTCCCATACTATTTGGTACCATTGGTCCATGCTTACTCCTGACAGGTCTCTCCAGTGTCTGGTTATGGTGTTTCTGGCTGCTGAATGTAGCTGGGTTATGAGTTCTTCCCAACACCAAAGAAACACAAATGAACAGCAGAGAACCTGCACGAGCAACGCTGACACCAAACCCTACATACATTAAGCAAAATAGAAACATCGCCACCCGACCCCACCTCCACCCATCTTTTTTTCTTTTCTTTTTCTTCCCCTTAATGTCTCAACAAATGAAACTGATTTGTAAAAATGTTACATGGAAAAAATACGAGAGACATTACACATACTTCTGTAGAACAAGAAAATCTTTAATAAAATAAATAGGTAAAGGTAAAGGTACCCCTGCCCGTACGCGCCAGTCTTGACAGACTCTAGGGTTGTGCGCTCATCTCACTCTAGAGGCCGGGAGCCAGCGCTGTCCGCAGATACTTCCGGGTCACGTGGCCAGCGTGACGAAGCTGCTCTGGCAAGCCGGCACCAGAGCAGCACACGGAAACGCCGTTTACCTTCCCGCTATAAAGCGGTACCTATTT